GCTGGGAGCCTGGCTGTCAGCTGAGATGAGCCCACACAGCTCTCCTGAGCCAGCACGGTGAAAGAGGCTTGTTGACTGTTTCAGCTGTCCCGAACCCTCGCTGAAGAGGTGGCTGCAAAGCTTCCCATGGGGCTGCAAAAGTGGACAGGAACAGATGAGCTGCTGCCAGCAGTGGCTGCAGTGGAATCCTGCTACAGTGCCCTCGGATCATACTGCAATAACCCGTATGACAAGGTACCTCCACTTCCCACTGCACCCTTCTTCCAGAGACGTCCTTACTGGAACTGTGTTCTCAGCTTGCACTGCATACTCTGCAGCACTTACCAGCTCACTTCCCGCTGCTCCCATACACCCTATGTACCACGAAGCTGTTTGCAGGATGCAAATTCACAGCACATGTTGGACTCCACGTTACAGATGCAGTTCTCGACATCTGGGTAACATCTGGGAGTAGTCTGCAGCTTGGCCATCCCAGATCACATCTGGTCACCGTCCCACAGAGATGGAAAGCTACACTGATCTCAGCACTGCGTCCAACCGACACCATCACTGGCCTGCCTGGGCATGCAGAGCAACTCACACCAGCACCTGAAGAACCAAGCCAGAGCCTCTGCCTTCTCATTGTGCTTCCCAGGAGGAGATAGGGCAAGTGGAGGAGAAAGCAAAGAGATGGAGCCAAGACCCCACATTGCAACTCAGGGCCTCTAGATCTCCAGGGAATGTCCCATCTCATAGCTTTGCAGATGGAGATGTCCTCACACAAACCATCCCTTCTGTGCCTGATGTGAGCTCCTCTGCTCACAGGCGAGTCCAGCAAACCCTTCTGAATAAAGCAGGTGACTGTCCTAGGTAAGTCACAGGAAACAAATACCCACAATTAAGAGGGTGGAAAAATCGTTTTTTTTCAATTATTTTACATCTCCAACTCTCAGCAGCCACCAGGTGTCAGCGTGATCAAATGTTTGGCAGATAGGACTGCAGTGAAGCCCAAGTAGGCAGAAAACAATTTTCCAGTAATCTGTCTCCTGAATCTGCTCTGTCGCCTGGCACACTGCTCCAAGAAGTCCATCTTCAACAGTTTTTGTTAAAAAGAAGTTTAACTACATTAAGGTGATAGAAAAGCTTCCTGTTACAAATGCTAAGACAAAGTTTCTTTTCCTCTTGAAGTCCTCCCTGTGCAGAGCTGGAAACTCAAGCACCGAACAACAGAGTAATTGGGCTATCAAGAGCCTCCCTACAGTGCTCCCCAGCCTGCATGTCCCCAGAGGTGACCTTTGCAAGGCTGGTGGGAGAGGGACAACAGTGCAATCGACTTAACAAGATCGGCCTAGTGCAAAAAAATGATACAGAGAAAAAACAAATGGTAAAAGTATAAAAAGTATCACCAGACTAAAGTGAAATGCTATTAACCAGTAGATTTCTAGAGCTAAACTGAGATCATACAGCCAGGTGCACCCTGTCAGAGACAGCAGAAGGTTGTTCTGAGCCTCGTGACAGGCATCCCTAGACACTAAAGATTGCCTGGATGCTCTGGACACAGAAGTGACCTCTAGTTTCTCGCAAATCTTCAGAAGCCCAAGAGCAAATCAGGAGAACTTGCTAGCTTATGAATAAGCTCATATAGCCCCCTTGGTCTCTTCAAAGCTTGATGACTTTATACCAGATCAAGAGGTGTTGAGCCCAGCCAGAAGCATTGCTTTATCAGCACCCCCTTGTTTCTCCAAGTTAGTAGAGTCCTAGCAATGATGAGCACCAAGGAAGTGTTCTGTGGGTGAACTGATGTGTGTTGGATGGGTGGCGTTATCTTTTCAATAGCCACTGGGCATTAAAAACATATTTAATGAGGATTATTTGCTTTGAAAGTATTTATATGGTAAAACTGCCTAAAGGTCATGGTCACATAATGGCCCCATTATGTGAAGTGCTATACAAACTCGAATTTTAACTCCACGCTTTAATTTACTCACCATATGATAACAACTTGCATTGAATCTTGCGAGCCCCAGGGTGCCATCAACACAGCCACTGAACCTGTGCAGTTTCACTGCACAGACCCATCAAAGTCCGCAGGAACCATCAG